AAAAAGAAAAACTGCTGAGGCAATACTGAATCTTAGCTGGGTTTAGCTCTGTAAACCTTATCTGTAAAGCAACTGTTCCTCGGCAAACTTTTAAAAAGGAACCTGTAACTGGGTGTGTTTCTATTCTTAAACACCCAATTGTGCACTAATAAACCCTGATTTTGAGAGGCTCTGAATTCTTCCACATCTTTTTGGCTTCATGCACATTTGCAGGTTCTCAGCATCATCTAATTTTAACCCCTATTTACAGACCATAGTTGAAGAGTTTACTTGTATCTTTGCTTCTTTGTCTGTATACTCCACATAATCACTATCACATCCTTAAATGACTTGACATTCTTAAATACAGGGTTTGTAAGAGGGCAAAATATTATTGTGTGTTTCCTTTTAGAAAGAGTAAGTAAAAAAGAGTCTCTATTGAGTTTTGCTAGCTTGGAAACTTCCTAGAAGAAAATTAGTATGTTTATTTAAAAATACAACCTAAAAAGGAAAATGTTTCTAAAATAGCAGTTTTCTCTGCAGATACTCTTTTAACAAAAATAATTAGTCCTTTTTTAAGCTAACTGAAAATACTTTCCTTTTAAAAATAGACAAACATTGAGCTAATGTAATAAAAAAGTAAGGTCCTGTTTTATTCCAAGAAATACTTAGTAGTAATTCCTAATAGTAAATTTTAACTGGTAGGAGATTTAAAATGAGAGACATCAAGCCAAACCTAGGACACTGATGAACAGTGTGGGTTTCCTCACTTATTCTGGAGAGTGTGGATGAGAATGGATGAGCCATTCTCTAGACCATGAAGCAAGATACTAAGTTAGCTGTACAAGTGAGCTGATCCAGTGGCAGAATATCACATACAGTAATCCCGTGTGAGATATACTGTCTCAGCCCCATCTATTGATTGGTCCCAATAGTACATTATCTGGACTACCTGCTTCTGCATAAACTAATCACTGTAACTGCCATTCCTCTTTTTGTGCACAGGGTGAACGCTGCCTATGAAGCACCCACCTATGAGGAAGTGATGACCATGTCAGTTCCAGCAATATGGACAATTGCATCCAATCCAGGCTTAGTACCCTCGCCACTGAATGAGCCTCCTCCTTACAATGTAGTTATTGAATCATCCACCCAAGAAGAGATGATGGTGGAGGCTCTCAGGGTTTCAGCAGCGTCAGATACAAGGCGCACCTCTGAGACAGACACAGGACCCAGGATGCAGTTGCAGCTGGTGCTACCCCCAAGACTGCAGCGGTTTGTTTCGGATATCCATGAAGTGAAAGGTGTTGAAGACAGGTTTGAACCACTGGAACCACTCACTCCACCACCTGCTTATGAGAGTGCTGTCAACGATGATGTCTTTGAAGATGCTTTCCAGCCCTCCATATTATGATTCATTTCACCTTCCAGGAATGCAGAATGAAATCCTCTGCCCAATATAGAATGCTCCTAGAGGGAAGGTGAAAGAGCTGAGATTTTTCACACCAGAAACTGTAGAAATTTGCCTCACCATTCTTGAACCAGAGCTGAGCTACAGACACAGCTTCTGATGTCACTAGAATCTTTTGCACAAAATACAAACCAATGCAATACCACAATGGCTCGTCTTGGCAGATAGGTAAAACCACTGGGAGGAAAGCCGCATTATACCTGGCAACAATTCTTAAACTGGAGAGACACCTTTATGGGGGAGGAATGTGAATCCTGAGAAAAGGTTTCCAAAGGACCCCTGAAGAAGGACTGTAGGATGCAACCAGAAGAAGTTGCCTGGGAAAGTGGAGAAATAGAAACAGCGCTAAGTAGATTCTGCCTGTGCATTACAAATGACTTTGCAATCATCAGTCATCCTAAAACCCCTACTGAGAGACTGAGGCTGTAGTTCCCCCGAGTTGCTGCTTTGCAGCAATACAAATTTATAGCCTACACTGTTTGTTGTTACCCCTCTGCTGCACTTGCTGGGCATCCTCTGCTGTGCTCCACTGCAGTCTGACTGAGGGAAGAATGGCTGTCTTCATCTAGAAGCTGGCACCACCTCATACTTGTCTCTTGGGATTGAAAAGCTGATGGCAAGCACGGCACCATGAAATTACTTCAGTCCTTCACAAGGTTCTCACCCCACACAGCCTGCAGTGGTGGACAAGAGGGAGATAATAGCAGCTTTTTTCCTGTAAGAGGAGCTGGCAATGGGATGTGTACACTCATACATGTCCTCTGCCTGAACCACTACTCTTTGCAGCTCTACAGGAGGGTGTCTTTTTCAACTTTACTACAGGCCCAAACAGATGACTCGAGATACTTCATTGCTATCATGGCAAGAATTTGCACCTCCACCTCTCCACAATGCAGCCATGCATGGAGGCTTCTCTCTGGACTCTGCAAAGGGCCAGTCCATCTGCCAAGGCCACAGCTGCAGCAGAGCACCTTGGAGAATGACAGCTCTGAGGCACATGTGGTGCTCTCGTGGCTCTAGGCTGGAGCCAGGTTCCAGCTCTCACTGATCAGTGATGCTGTGCGGTCGTTTACAATGGTAGAGCTAATCTGAGAGGCCATGCAGCATTAAAGTGGTCTGCAGCATGCAAAGAGACATTCATGTCTGGTGAGTGTCCAAATATAAGCAATGAAATAAGGTGGTCCGAATCTCTTTATGAAGGAGAGCAGCAATGATCAAAGCTGTGTCTCATATGACTGCATCACCTTTAATTCATATGAGAAACCATCAGAACACCGGCTAGAAGCAAATAAATTATTTCTTATCGTTTGATTCTTTTAGGATAAAAAAAAAAAAAAGAAAAAAAAACCCAAACCTTTTTATGTTGTTTATAAATAAACCACATTAAAGATACCTGGTGGCATCATTAGTTTTTCCTCCCAAAAGAAACACCCCAGAAAGCCATGCTTTTGCCTGCATTCAGCTTATCTGATAATCTTGGCTTAGAAAGTGGAGTTTAATTTCTAAATCTACAACTGAATCACTTTAATATCATTAATGATGCAGCTATGATGATACCATTATCATAGAATAAGATCTAAATCTCCTGATAGAGGCAGTGGGATTTCTTTAAAGCCAGCCACTTGGTGCATTTCCCTCCTGTATCTGCAAACACAAAAGAACAAACCACAGTCAAAACCAATACAGGTATAGCACGCAGTAACAGAAACTGAGTGTAAACTGGGCCACCCAGGACCTTTCTGAGTGCACCAAATTGCCAGGAATCAGGAATAAATTCAGGCAGCCAGCACAGAAAAAAACTGATCAAAACAAAGGCCAAAATGTCACTGGTTTTGATCACTGGGATTTTTACCTTTTTAAGTTATTCAAGCCTTTGGACTTGTGTTAAGTTCTAGCATGTGAAACTCCTGTGCACCAAGGAACAACTATCTGAAGCTTTACATGACAAGAGCTGTAAATTTGCTTCTGCTAAAAGGATTTTCATTTGCTTTTCCCTTAATATTTCAAGTGTACTCTGCACAACGCATGTGCTCCCTTCTCCCACTTAACTATGGGACATTACTTGAGCCCTTTATCAAGGAGCGTGACCAGCAGGTCGAAGGAGGTGATCCTGCTCCTCTACTCTGCTCTCGTGAGACCTCACTTGGAGTATTGTGTACAGTTCTGGTGTCCTCAACATAAAAAGGACATGGAACTGTTGGAACAAGTCCAGAGAAAGGCCACGAGGATGATCAAGGGCTGGAGCACCTCCCATATGAAGACAGGCTGAGAAAGTTGGGGCTGTTCAGCCTGGAGAAGAGAAGGCTGCGTGGAGACCTCATGGCAGCCTTCCAGTATCTGAAGGGGGCCTATAGGGATGCTGGGGATGGACTCTTCATTAGGGACTGTAGTGATAGGACAAGGGGTAATGGGTTAAAACTTAAACAAGGGAAGTTTAGATTGGATATAAGGAGGAAATTCTTTCCTGTTAGGGTGGTGAAGCACTGGAATGGGTTGCCCAGGGAAGTTGTGAATGCTCCATCCCTGGCAGTGTTCAAGGCCAGGTTGGACAGAACCTTGGGTGACATGGTTTAGTGTGAGGTGTCCCTGCCCATGGCAAGGGCGTTGGAACTTGATGATCTTAAGGTCCTTTCCAAACCTAACTATTCTGTGATTGCATCAATTTCATCTGATTTCACCTGAAATGCGTGTTAACAAGAGACATAACGGAAAATCTGGAACAGAAGTCCAACAAAAAATCCCAACAAAAAGCCAACCACAGAACTGGTCTGTTTGCAAGGAAAGCTGCATACCTATTATTCTACCCACACACAGAACCCCTCCCATTACTCTGATGTGCAAGACTAATCCCCTCTGCTATGACTCTGGCCTCCAGGTCGTAGAATCCCAGACTGGTTTGGGTTGAAGGGACCTTAAAGCTCATCCAGTTCCAACCTCTGCCACAGGCAAGGACACCTTCCACTAGAGCAGGTTGCTCCAAGCCCCTGTGTCCAACCTGGCCTTGAACACTGCCAGGGATGGGGCAGCCACAGCTTCTCTGGGCACCCTGTGCCAGCACCTCAGCACCCTCACAGGGAAGAGCTTCTGCCTAAGAGCTCAGCTCAATCTCCCCTCTAGCAGGTTAAAGCCATTCCCCTTGCCCTTTCCCTGCAGCCCTATCCAAAGCCCCTCTCCAGCTTTCCCGTAGCCCCTTTAAGAATCAGACGACCTCCACCATCACACACCGCACCCACCACGCCCGAGCCCAGGCACGAACAGACACGAACCCCATCGGGGCAAGGCGCGCCGCGCATGCGCACATCCGCCGGTGACGCCTGACGCTCGTCCTGTGGCGGGGAGCCCTTGCCTCGGCCACGTGACTGAGCGGAGGCAGCGCGGTCCGAGTCGCCGTGGCCGTCGGGGAGGGGTGAGTGCCGGGGGGCGATGGATGCGAACCGCTCGGGGGGAGCCGGGCCCGGGGGGCGCGCAGAGCCCTGCTCCTGCTTCCGTCCGTGCGGGTTTGGGAGCCGGGGACGGCGCGGGTGGTGCAGGCCGCTTCCGGCCGTTGTCAGGCGGCGGCTGGCCGCGGGGTCCGTCCGCTTCCTCCTGAGCGGAAAGAAAGGGAGGCTCGTACAGTTGAGTTGCGCTTAGGTGTCACCTCTCCTGCTAGGGAAGCGTGCGGCATGCAGCGGTGTCACCAGGAAGCGCTAAAGAAGAACCGGGTGATGCTGGCAAAGCAGCTGCTTTTAAGTGAGTTGATGGAGCATATGATAGAGAAAGACATCATCACCGCAGAGATGGTGGAAATGATACAGGTATGCAGGTTGTACTCGATTACTCCCGAGTCTTAACCCTAAGTTCTAGTTAAGCTCAGTGCCCTTCCTGGCAGTGGCAGCGTGATAAACTGCATATTTTAATGTGATTACATGTGTGGAACGTGCAAAGCATGTGGGTTTTGCTTGCAACGCACGGGAGAACTGTAAGCCGCTCTTTGCGATACTGATTTTGACTGGGGCTTACTAAATCGTTGGCTTGCATGCTGCAGTTGCAGCAGACTGTGCTTTGTGAGTTCCGTGGTTATCTTCCAGTCCTTTGTTGTCATTTTGTGCCTCTGTATGTAGAAGTAGAAATAACACCTGTTTCCCCAAGAATACTGTGAAAATAAGTAAATTAATATATTGTAAGCTTATTGTGTCACCTGCCACTTAAAGGATTTGTATTTTATCTGTGTTTTCCTTAACTGCATGAAGAACTTTACGTGATCCAGCACCCTCACTCTCACATAGTGAATGCTGTCCATACACTTTTATTAACTTATCCTGTGTAGTTGGTACTATGAAGTCACTGGAATTATCTTGGGATTGCTCCCAGAGGCTTGGTAATGCACTGAAGAGTGTGCAGGATGAAGGTAAAATTCTTCAAAGAGAAAGCAGCCTGGAAAGGAAGTGACTGAAAGTGTATGTCAGGTGCATCTCAGGACTCAAATAAGTAATTGAGGCACTTTTTAGTCCCTTAGTAGGATTGATGGTCCTGTCATAAAAACATGCTGAAAACCAGAATTCTGAGCTATTTCTGAGCACTGCTGCAGACTGTGTGAACCTTAGGCTGATAAGGTTTTTAAAAGTAATGAAGAAATAACTTTGTGATGACTTCTGACTCACATGTGTCACATAATGTGAAATTACTCATGGGACCTGTTAGGGGCACCTGTGCCAAGTAACTGGGAGATGCAGGCAGTCTCACCTGAAATAGGTCAGATCCCTAATGAAGGAGGACAAAGGTGCAGCAAGACAGTGAAAAGCCAGAGAATGAATCAACTGTTTGTACTGGTTTTGGCTGGGGTAGAGTTAATTTCTTCCTAATAGCTAGTATGGGGTTATGTTTTGGATTTGTGCTTATAACACAAGTTATGCTGAAGTATGGGTGGTTAGTAAGGATGTTCAGTCGCTGGCCTGCAGTTAGTTACTGAAGGGGGACAAAGGGGAGGAAAAGAAAAGGAGAAAAAGGAAAAGAAAAAAAAGAGCCCTCTCACAGGTGGGATAATGCCAGAGAAAAGAGTCTTTTCGGCAAAATGCTGCTGACACAGGGGAAGCAGACTAGAGGAATCTTCCCCTTCAGGTGTAATTACATAAAAGGAGATGCAACAATACTTAGTAATGGATTATCAATAAGGAGAAAGGTATTACCGTGGATAAGTCAGGTAAATAGCAATAGCTTAGTGGAAAAAAATATGCCTAATATAACCTACACACATAACTAAGAGCTTAAATATATATAAATAGCAGTAGCAGATTGAGCAAGAGAACAAAGTGACTTGAACTACTGTTGCAGTGTATGAATCTGGACATTGCAATGAGAACAGAAATGCAGTGGGGAAGAAGGAAAGCACTGACAACTGGAACAGTAGTACTGTGAAATAAGGATAGAAATGAAGGGAACGTGCTAATAACAGTGCTACAGATAAAAAGGAGTGTGCATTTGAAAAAAAAGATTACTTGGGTCAAAACCACTTTGTGTTGCTTTTCATTTTTCTGTAGTAGGTCTGTGAATCTGTAGTAGTCCTCCACCCTGGCTGAAATGTGAGCAAAAGTCTTGGGAGTGCCTTTTGGTAACCTGTTCTTGAAAATGTATTGTGATGCTAATCATCAGGTACCTTACTGGAAATAGGAGGAGACAATGCCACATTGGCTGATATAGATTTTCCTGGATATTCTAGCTGACTGGTTCTGTATAGCCTGCTGCTTCCCCAAGAACTTAGGAAATCATTAAGATCTGGATAAATATGTTTTAAATCATCTTGTCTTAAAAACAGTTATACTGGTCCTTTTGGTTTGATTTAAACTTAGCAGAAGAATAAACAGAATGATTCTGGAAATAAGGCAGATTCACTTAAATAAACTTTTGTAATCTAAGGAAAGTGAAATAAACCAAGGAGCTCAGGGAGATGAAGGAAGGATGAAATTTCTTCAAGTGTGAGGTGCTAAACCAGTACTGAAATTTTACCACGTGTAAGAAAAAGGTGAGAGGGGAGGATAGTGCAGAAAGAGTCACTGAAGACAAAGGTAGTTTTGCAGGATGAAGAGCTCACAAGGAATATAAAAGGTAAAGAGTTCGTACGTGTATACTGAAGAAGAGCTAATAAATAGGAGTAGGTTCCTTTGATGTCCAAAATGGGGAGAGAGGGTAGGAACTTAGAGGCATGAATTTAAATTAGGTTATTCAGAAAGATACTAAAAATCTGATTTTCTTTTCAATTATATACACTTTGAAGAAAGAATAAAGAAATATGTTTCACTTCTGAATGTTTGCTGACTATTGTTTAGTATAACCTGAAGTGGATGTGGAAGTTTCATAAGGAGATACCTTACTGCTTCCTTAAATACAAAAGGTGCTGTATTTCATTATTTTGATATTTAAGTAAACATGCCCCATCCCTGGCAGGGTTCAAGGCCAAGGCTTAGTGCAACCTGGGTGAGTGGAAGCTGTCCCTGCCCGTGGCAGGGGGTTGGAACTGGATGAGCTTTAAGGTCCCTTCTAACCCAAGCCATTCTATATTTCTGTGATCCTGTGAGTCAGGAATAAGTCTGCCAAAAGCTGACTACTGTACCTACAAAGTGCAGAATCTAAACATCATGGAAATTTCTTAACTTTTCAGTAAAACTTAAGATCCAGTTCTTGAGGTCAACTTGTGTTCTTAATTATGATTTATGGCTTAAAGTCATAGACTGTGAAGACATAAAAAGTAAGATGATTAATGTTCCTAAGTGCAATATAAAGAGCTGCAGGCCTGCTAGAAAGGAAGAAGTAATTAATAGGTACTTTAGAATATCAGCTGTTAATTTACTTCATTAGGTAAAATAAAATTCAGTGGGCTTACAGCAAGATACAATATATGGAGCTGGTTATCTTCTGTGGACTAATGAAGAAGTGTTACCAGGAGAAAGGGCCAAGTATTTTCATACTTCTGCAAAGGCACAGGTGAGTTATTACTGTACATACTCCTAGTCAACAGTGCTCTGAAAGTTGAGGTTCCCATTAGAATATGAAAAGGTAGTTGTGTTGTCAAGGGGAAGAGGCCATTTATGAGAAGGCTGAAAGAAAGTGGTTTGTTTACTGTAGCAAATGGAGACTGATTTATAGAAAGAAGTTTGATTAATAACGGAAAGGACAGGAGAATACTGAAGTTAAGGGATATAGTTGATACAAAACCAAATGCTACTAGTCATAAATTAACGTAGTAGAGTGTGCATTTTTTTTCTCTGGATCTAGGCCAAGCCTGGGAGTTTCAGCCAAAATGTGGAATTCCTCAACTTGCTGCCCAAGAGAGGTCCTAATGCATTCTCAGCATTCTGTGAAGCTCTACGAGAAACCAAACAGCAGCATCTGGAGGCGATAATCTTGAAGACAACATCCAGTCTGAGCCAAGGGATTGCAAGGGTACAGCAGTTCTTAAAAAATGAGACGGGCGGACTGCATTTCAGATTGGGTTTCGGTGCAAAGTGATAATTTTTTCAAATGGGGAAAAAAAAAGGTTGTTTACAAAGGTCAGGATGGGGTTTTGTTGCAAACTGAAGCTTATAGTACATAGTGAAAGCAGAGGGGAGGGAATTTGGGAAGAAGAGAGTTTCATGCAGTGTCACAAGATGGCAGAGATTGGAAGGGATCTTTGGAAATCACCTGGTCCAAGTCTCCTGCTCAGGTAGCATCACCTTGAACAGGTTCCCCAGGGCTATGCCCACGTGGCTTTTGAGTATCTCCGAGGTTGGAAACTCCACAACCTCTCTGTGCAACCTGCTCCAGTGTTCATCACCCTCATAGTAAAAAAACCTGTTTCCTGATGTTCAGAGGAAACCTGTGTTCCAGCTTGTGCCCATTGTCTCTTGTCCTGTCCCTGGGCACCGCTGAAAAACATCTGGCTCTGTCTTTTGTATACCCCCCTTCGAGGTATTCATACACATTGATAAGGACATCTTGAGCCTTCTATTCTGCAGACTAAACCCCACAGGTCTCTCAGTTGTTCCTCATCACACTTGTGCTCCAGGCCTTTTACTAGTTCCACTGCACTTCTCTGGACCTGCTTGCAGCACCTCAGTGTCCCTCTTGTAGTGAGGGGTCCAGAGCTGAACACAGGATTCGAGGGGAAGCCTAACCAGAGCTGAGTACAGGGGGATGATCACTTCCTTGCCCCTGCTGGACACACTATTTCTGATCTAGTCCAGGATGCTGTTGGCTGCCTGAGCACAAGCTGTTCACATTCAGCTCTGTCAGGCAGCACCCCCAGGTCCTTTTCCATGAGCAGTTTCCAGCCACTCTTTTCCAAGCCTGGAGCATTCCGTGGGGTTGTTGTGGCCCAGGTGCTGGACCCAGCACTTTGCCTGTTGAACCACATACCATTCTCCACAACCCATTGATCCAGCCTGTCCAGATCCCACTGCAGAGCTTTTTTGTCCTTCGGCAGATCATCACTCCCACCTGACTGATCCCTCTGTTTTCCTGCACATGCTTTATGATCTTGGGATCATCTGCTCCGTGACTTTTCCTGGCACTGAGCTCAGGCTGACAGGCCTGTAGTTTCCAGGGTCTTTCTTCCTGTTCTTTTTGTATAGAGATGTCACGTTGGCCAACCTCCATTCCCTTGGGACCTGCCCACTGCACTAGGACCGCTGATAGATGATGGAGAGTGGTTTAGTGAGCCCCTCTGCCATCATCTTCAGCACTCTTTGGTGGAACCCATCAGGTCCCATAGACTTGTATATGTCTAAGTGGAGCAGGAGGTCTCTAACCATTTCTTCCTGAATTATGGGAACTTCAGTCAACTCCCGATCTCTGCCATCCAGCTTAGGGTACCGGGTACCCTTGAATGGCTGGTGTGGCCATTAAAGACTGAGGCAAAGTCAGCGTTAAGTACCACTAGGTTACCCCTTGTGTCCAGCAAAGGATGGCAGTTCTCCTTGGTCCTCCTTTTATTGCTAATATATTTGTAAAAGTACTTTTTATTATCTTTGATGGCAGTGGCCAGATTTAGTTCTGTCTCTGTGTTTCTGACTTTCTCTTTCCATAACCTAACAACATCCTTGTACTGCTCATGAGGTGACAGTCCCTTCTTCCACAGGTGATAGATTCCCTTGTTTTTCCGGAGTTCCAGCACTATCTGCCTGTTCAGCCAGGCTGGTCTCTTCCTGCTGGGCTGATTTTTCAGGACAAAGGGACCACCTGTTCCTGCACCTTAAGGATTTCATTCTTGAAGAGCATCCAGCCTTCCTGGACCCCTTTGTCCTTCAGTAATGTTTCCTGAGGAATTCTGCCAGCCAGCATCCCGAAAAGGCCAAAGTCAGCCCTCCAGAAGCTTAAGGTGGACACTTTGCTGACCTTCTTCCTGACTTCTCCAAGGAAAATTCACTCATTTTGTGATGGCTTTGCCCAAGAGGGCCTCAACCATCACATCATCCACTGTCCTTCTCTGTTTGCCAACAGCAAATCTAGGCAGGCATCTCCCCTAGTTGGCTCACTCACCAGCTAGGTTAGGAAGCTCTAGGAACCTCCTGGACTGTTTCTTCTCTGCTTTGGTGTACTTCCAGCAGACATCTGGTAGGCTGAAGTCCCCCACGAGAACAAGGGCAAGTGATCGTGAAACTTCTCGCAGTTGTTTGCTATGAAAATGAAACCTTGAAAGCAAACAGAAAGATAGAAATCACTGGACAAATACATTTTTGGCAGAAATGAGGAGGATATAATGACAGTGTTAAGGTTTTCAAACTGGGAACTTGGGTAGGAGTAGAGATGAGCAAAGAAGGGAAGAAACTTTGAATTGACATAAAATGCTGTTGCTGTCTTCTTGTGATGTTTCATTTGGTGTGAGCCATCATATTTTTTAAGTGATGTATATGTGTACGTAAATGCGTGTCTGTGTTCATGATACCTGCAGTCTTGTATTGCAGATACAGCTGTTTCATGCAACTCTTTTCATGGATTTATTGAATGTTTCGTAGCTTGAACACCATTATGGATCAAATCTTCCAATCCCTATCAATGAGTCATGTAATTCAAAGAGAGTGCGCTGGATAGGTGAGTTGTGCTTGACTTGCTATCTGCTTGGTTTCATAATACTCTGTTAATTTAGCTCTAGAAATAAGCTTCCCACCACTTTGTTCAGCCCAGGAATGCAAACTTGGCAGTGAACTGGCTATATTGTGATCAGATGCAGGAGGCAGAATTAGGGTAAAAAATGAAATGGCATATTGGAAGAGAGAACCGAAGCAGTTTCTAATCAGCTCCCCTTATTCTTACAGGAAATTTTGTTGCTCAAATAGTACATGTGAGTAAAATTTTAGATTTTGGAAGATTTTTTGTTTAACGTTTATAATAAAGTTTAATTGAAATAGAACTGTGAAAAGATCCCAGTTTTGGGCAGTACTCCTTAACTTAGACTCCTTCTTGACAAATAAGTTTCAGTACAAGGCCTTGCATATGTTACATGGGCCCAATATAGATTTCTGTAGCTTTTGTTGAGTGTAGCAAATCAGCTTTTCTTTAGCAAGAATCTGTGACTTGGATTAGGGAACTAGTTGTTGGAATGAATCTCTTTGCTAGTTTTTATGTTGCCCCTTGTAATGCCTGGAGTATTCATGTTCCCTAGCCACAGCTTTAACTATATGCTCATTACTAGGAGCTCTCTCTGATGTTAAAGAACAAGTCTCCAAATTTTGAAGGCCTTGCTTTAATTATTTTTTTTCTAATTATTTTCTATTTTATTTAGGTGCAAAAGTTGGATTGTTTTTGTTTTTTAGAGCATAGGTCCACTAACTAGGAAAGCTATGTAAAAGGTTGTAAAAGGATTTCAGAGAAGATTGTGAATGTCATCTGTTTCTTCTGGACAGGGGAGTGAGTGTTTTGTCTGCAAGTGGCAGGTAGTTGATTATCATTCCCACTATCTGCTGTTATCCAGAGGAAAGGGTTGTTCAGAGGCGGGTAAACAGGAAAAGGCATTGCACTTTATGGCAGTTAGATCACTTATACATGCTTTCATCAAAAAAGAAGTCATTGTATCCAGTAAGGGAGGTCTTTTATGAAAGGAAAATCACTATTCTAGTTGATTCTTTCTAGTAGTGGTTTGTCTGTCAGAGAAATAACATACTGTGCAAAGTAACAGAAAGCTCAAAGCTCTATTTTTAGATGAGAATTATGTTTTCATACTCTGGAACCAAATTTGCTAGGCCTTAGATGAGGCTAACCCACATACCAGACAAAAAAGAGTTGCCAGTTAAAACTATAAAAAATAAGTATACTATTCCAGGACATTTGGGGTCTTTTCTCCCTGCTGTGTTTCATTGTGTATCTGAAGTCCCTGCTCAAACAGAATTTTTAGATGTATGAGTATTATAAATACAGGAATATGTCTAAGACCACATAGATGAGAATTTGCAAGTTGCTGCAGAGGCTTTGTAGTTGGAGTTTGTTATTGTTATTGATATGTTTGTTTTGCACAGAACCAATGGAACATTCCTTGGATAATGGAGATGGTCCCCCGATTCCTCAGGTGAAGTACTGCACTCCCAAATTTTATCATGATCATCAGCACTTGGTAAGTAGTTGAGAGAGAAGATCTTGAGATATGAAAGACGTGAGGTGTGTGGATGTATCGGCTGAATGTTTGTGACTTAAAACTGAGTCTAAATGCTTGCTTCATTGGGTTGCAGACCAGTGTTGTGCTGTTTGTGCCACTGAAAGGTGTGAATCGGTTCTGTTTGACTTGGTGTAGTTCTAATTTACAAGTGTCAAGAAGTTCTGTAACTCTGTACAGATCTCTGCCTCTGGTTTTTGTTCTTGAAGAACTTTGTGAAATGCCTTCTATTCTGTTGCTCTGTGTAAGCTGTCAGTCTTATTGTCTCATATATATTTGCTTGCATCCTCATCTCCTGTGTGATGACACACCTTGCAAATGACTATAAGATACTAGAACTGTGCTTCAACTAGTAGTCGCAGTTTTGGCTAGTTTAGTTGCCAGCTGTACCGTGAAGAGTCTGTCTTTAGTCTCAAGAATGAGATTAGGATTAGGTGCTGACTAGAACAGCCTGAATTTCTAATCTGCAGTCTTAGAAGTTATGTAGGAAGCCTAATGAGTTTTTATTTATTCTATTTGTTAAGCATAAATTGTGGTGGGATTAAGGGAAAAAAAAGATAATTAAAGATTAAGGGAAAAAGCAATCATTTTGTGTAATGGGGCAGACCCTTCGCTAGGTTACACAATGTGCTGACACTTAACACTTCTCTCACAGGCTCTATCTGCAGCAAAGCAGATTGGTTTTGGGTTTTTTACTATTGACTTGGGTCCTTTTACAGCTGTGCCTGGATGCACCTAATTTGATATGCCCCTTTGGTATTAAATTTCACTTTCAATTTGCACAAGTGTTAGTAACAGACTTCTTGTTAGAGTGGGAGGGGGCAGAGAGGGAACTTAATTTGAACAGACTTAGAACTTAAGAAGAACTTAAGTTAGTTCTTTCCCTTTTAACTAACTTAAGTTAGTTCTTTCCCTTTTAACCTGCTATATAACTTATCAGTGATTGACAGTTCCTTGCTGTTAGAATTGCACTCATGTACTATTTTACATCTGTGTCTGCTCTCAGCAGCAGTTAGCAAATGTTCATTAAATTTTACATTGTGTTGTTCTAAGGCAACATGAGGATGTCAGAAATACACAGGGCTGTGCAGGAGTGAGGGTGGGAAAAGGGAAAAGAGTTAGCAAGGCTCAGTTCACAGTGTGAAATGCTGTGTGCTTCTTTGAGAAATAAGGCAAGCTAGTATCACATCTTCATAGTGGTGTTGTGGGATCAGCAGTTGTGGAGACTTGCAACTACAGTTGTCTTTGGGACCCTTTGCAATACAAACAGTTGTTGTGGTTTTGGTTTTTTATAAAACAACAAAAAACCACAGGCAAACAAAAGAAACACCAAAAAACCCCCCCACATGCAGAGAAAAAAACCCAGCCTAAACAGAAACCTCAGAAATTTGACCTCTGCTACTTTTGTGCTTCCACAATCCAGAAATCCTACGGATCAAGTTGGTATGTAGGGATTGCTGTTCTGCTCTAACACTTTCCTTATGTAGTCAGAATTTACAAATCTTACATCTTCTTTGCAGGCGTATAAACTGATATCAGAGCCCCGAGGCTTAGCACTTATTCTCAGCAATGTCCATTTCAGCAGTGAGAAGGACTTGGAGTATCGTGCAGGGGGAGATGTGGACTGTACTTCACTGGAGATGCTTTTCAAGCATCTTGGGTACCAAGTGACTGTCTTCCATGATCAGACTGCACAGGTAAAGTGGGTGGATCCCAGTACTTTGCAACCAGTATGGATAAGAGTTTGTAGCTATTATGTAAACTTCCTAAGAGGTTCCCTTTGGTATAATAAAGCTCGAACAGGAAGATGTGAATGGTCACTTACGAATACAAAATAAGACTAAATGGGATGATGTCTGCTTTTGCATGCTGACAAATATGAAGAAGTTTGGAAGGCAGAGGACTTAGGATGGAAAGTATGACCAGAAAGGATGTACTACTCCAGTCTGATGCAAAGGGCAAAAATTTCTCTACTGCATCTGACATGTCTATTAAAGCCACAAATGAATAAAGTCTCCAGTTTACTCTAGGTAGACTTCTCCAGTGTTCTGCTATCCTAAAGGTTAAGCTTTGCAGAGATTTCACCTAGTGTTTGAAAGTGTAAGTGGTGTTTTCATGTCCTTTCACTGATGGAGTCAACTGCCATCCCATTTACCAGTCTTCCAGTATCTATGCGGTTAAGTTCCACTCAGTCTTCATTTTGTTAGAGAAGTGGCTGTGCTTTGGTTAGGAAAATTGGTAATATTCCGTGACTGACTGAATCAAACCACTCTCTTTCCCTAGGAATGCAATTGCTGCCTTCTTCAACCTCATTCATTCTTAGTCCTTTTAAGTCCCTATGAAACCAAGTGTTACAGAACCTGTTAAAGTGTGCTTTTATTCACGAAGGCATCTTTCGCAGTATTACATTGCGCCTGCCATGTTGTCAGAGTTCCTAAAGCTTTCCACTTTTAGTTGTTGTTGTGTTCTGATCACTAGTGTTTGAATGCCTGAAATACTGGAATATGTATCTGCTAAGTTGCTCCAGTATCCTAGCCAGACTCGGTGTAAAACCTGTATGAAAATATAAGTTGGTTTCTCTTATGTTGAATGCATATATACCAACTTGGATACTTACTGCATCCCCCTATTGGCCTGAGTGATTCCAACTTCACAGTGTTATCCTTAGGACTGAATATTACACAGAAGAACATTTTGCTGCTTTATGGAACACATCTTTCGCCCTTTAAATTTGATGTACATAGGGTTTATTTCCTAAGAGGGGGACAGGACTGGATCTGTTGAAGTGGGTCCAGAGGAGAGCCACAAAGATGATCAGAGGGCTGGAACATCTCTCCTATGAAGACAGGCTGAGAGAGCTGGGGTTGTTCAGTCTGGAAAGGAGAAGGCTCTGGGGAGACCTTAGAGCAGCTTCCAGTACCTAAACCTGGAGAGGGACTACTTATAAAGTAGAAATAGGACAAGGGGAATGTTTTAACCTGACAGAAGGTAGATTTAGATTTTAGATAGGGTGGTGAGGCGGTGGCACAGAGAAGCTGTGTCTGCAAGGCCAGGTTGGACAGGGCTTGGAGCAACCTTGTGTAGTGGAAGGTGTCCCTGCCCATGACAGGGGGTCGAACTGGATGAGCTTTAAGGCCCCTTCCAACACAAACCAGTCTGTGATTCTGTTACTGCTTGTGTTTCTCCCTGTATATTGTCCCACTTCCCTGTGCAAGTCTGGAAAGCATCAAACGTTTTTGTTTTCTTTCACTTCCAGGAGATGCAGAATGCATTGGAGAGATTCTCTAAGATGCCAGATCATCGGGATGTGGATTCCTGCATTGTAGCTTTGCTTTCCCACGGTGTGGAGGGTGGGGTTTATGGCAGTGATGGCAAACTACTGCAGGTATATTGCTGTGTCCTGCTATGTTGTTGCAGGTTATCTCTTGGAAAGTAACAATGGAAAGAGATAAGAAAACCAAAATGGAAACGATGAGAGACTGAGGATTCTCTGTTTTAGAAAGGAGGGCTTGCAGGAGAAAAAGTACAAGGGGCTGTCTATGAGAGGTCTGTAAGATAAAGAGTGGCATAGAAGGGAAGTTACTCTATTCTCTCTTTGTACAAGTATTACATAGAGTGCATGAACTCAAACTAGTAGAGCTTGGGGGAAGGGTGGAAAGTTGTTATGTGATGAGTTTGGAGATAAAGGAGAAAATATCAAGAGGTAATAACAGAAATGATCGGTGTCTGAAGGGGGCCTATAAGGATGCTGGGGAGGAACTCTTCATTAGGGACTGTAGTGGTAGGACAAGGGGTAAGGGGTTAAAACTTAAGCAGGGGAAATTTAGATTGAATATATGGAAGAAGTTCTTTACTGTGAGGGTGGTGAGGTGCTGGAATGGGTTGCCCAGGGAGGTTGTGAATGCTCCATCCCTGGCAGTGTTCAAGGCCAGGTTGGACAGAGCCTGGGGTAACATGGTTTAGTGTGAGGTGTCCCTGCCCATGGCAGGGGGTTGGAAGTGGATGATCTTAAGGTCCTTTCCAACCCTAACTATTCTATGATTCTATAAATACATGGAAGCAGAATGAGACTGGGTTTGGCTCACAAAAGGCTGCAGTGAGTAATATTTATCATCTCTTCTTTCAGTTGCAGGAGGCCTTCCGGCTTTTTGATAATGCAAACTGTCCAAATCTCCAGAATAAGCCCAAAATGTTCTTTATTCAGGCGTGCCGGGGAGGTGAGTTCCTAAATACTAAAAGCCATGTATTTGGCATGCCATTAAGGCTCATTTTACACACGTACACACCCTCACATTCAACTTGCTGTCAACTTTCCTCTTTGCTTCTCTCAGGTGTAAGTGGGACCCATATTCACCTCCCTCTGCCCTGCTGCTGCCACTGCATCTGTTGCTCTGTAAGTGTCTTTTGCTCTGCATGAGGTGTGTGCATTGACTTGCAGACCCCAGAGCACTTTAGTGATACAAAGCTCTATTATATCCCAACTCATATATTGAGGCTTTCTCTTGCTATGCCTGCAGTAGGGGGAGTGGGGCATATGGTACATCAAATTGCAGCACAGCATGGAGTGGTACACTAACACTGGAGTGTTGTCTGAGGTCCTGTCTCTTGATCCTGGATGCGTTGTGTCTCTTGTTTTGTCATCTATTGAGCTATCAGTTGGCTCCAAATGTGTGGGTTTTTTCTTTTCCTTTATCCTGTCCTGTTTTCAACCTCCAGATGCTTTGGACCCTTTTCCACATACTGCTGTAGAATTCTTACCAAACTATTGTGCATGATAGTTCTTGATTCTCACAGACTTGTTCTTTTTCCACTCTTTCAGTTTGCATTTTCTTCAGTTCTGCTATTTGTTTTCCCTCCTTTTGTATCTGAACACGTCTGTAATGAACTAGTTTTCAGATTTGCTGATGACCCAATTTGTCCTTAAACTGTTTGGATTTTTTGAGGTCACTCTGAAACTGCAGATACTCTGAAGAGGAGTTCTGTCTTAGAAAGCTTTGCTTTTTATCTTGTAAGAGAGAAGTTCTTGCTAGCGTGTATGCTTTTCCCTTTTATTTTTCCTTGTTCCTTGGAATTGTCTCCCTTCTTTTTCACTCTTAGCAGAGTTGCTCTGTAGTTTCTTCTCTTGCCAGATGGATGTTTCTTTTGCCTGTTATTTACTTGCGTTTACTCCCCATGCAGAGAAAAACCTGAAGTCTACATGAAGTATTTTTACAATCAAAAATAATCAATTCAGCTGAGCATTTGGGAATATTATAATGTGCACATTTACAGTATGAATTGAATATAGATTTTTTGAATATGCAGACTCATAACGTTGTGGAGATAGGTGTACTAAGCCAGAATTTGTAGCTGACCTAATAAGTTGATCAGGTTTATTTGACCATAATCTTATAATAATGGGTCTGTCAACGTTGGCAAATCAGACTTGGCCTTCCTATACCCAGAAGGTTTTCAGTTGTAGTTGGAGCTCTTTATGCAAAATGCTGTAGAACTGGGATACTGCCATAGGCAAAGGGTTGAGACTTGAGCGACTGAAAGGGAAAACCTTTCTTCAATTAAAAAACCTCTCTTAAATCTTGATTAATAGCTGCAGGGGAAAGCTAATTACAAAGTAACAAAACAGGAATGTGTGTCCTTTTGTTATCCTTTGAATGTTAGCATTCAAAGGTTAGACTACCAAAAGAATTTTTTTTTCAATAGCAGAATTCAGATATATAGTGTGGGCAACTTTAGATTAGCACTTTGTCCCTGTGTGCCATGCAAGTTAGCTGGAACCAGTTGAAACTGAATGCAAAATGCATAGGTTATTCTTTTTCCCCTAAGTTTGTGTAATAGGCCTTACCTATCTTCTATTAATGACACATTAAAAACTGTAGATGAAGAAGAGTTGTTACAGCCTACGTAATTTCCAAAAGGCCTTTGGCAGAAATCTCATAAAGAATTGAATAGTTCACCTACAGTCATGGATCAAAACCCAGCAGTGACAGAAAGGAATGGGAAAGGACAAATTGTCACATTTCACTATGACATCAAATGAGACACTGTATATGCTTAACATCTGTGTTTAATGTAGGAGCTGATCCAGAAAAGCAAGAAGTGTCAGCAGGCCGGTTAGCTCAGTTGGTTAGAGCGTGGTGCTAATAACGCCAAGGTCGCGGGTTTGATCCCTGTACGGGCCACTTTTTCTGGCAGTGTTCAAGGCCAGGTTGGACAGAGCTCTGGGTGACATGGTTTAGTGGGAGGTGTCCCTGCCCATGGCAGGGGGGTTGGAACTGGATGATCTTAAGGTCCTTTCCAACCCTAACTATTCTGTGATTCTAAATAGTGACAAAAAGATGGTTCGTCTGTATTTAGATCAATTGGGAAAACAGCTATCTGGGACCTTGAGTAAAATTTAAACAGGCTGGTTCAATCTGGGTGACAGTTACCATTGATACGTACTGGAGGTTGAGTATGCAGAAGAATATCTAACCCAATGCTTTATACTTTTTAATTACATTAGTAAGTTGACTGGAATGGTATTTGAAGACAAATGCATGAGGAAGACATCTAATTCAGAAGCTTTAATCAAAAAGGTTTTGACTATATTATGGGATTATGACAGTGATAATAATACAGCTTGATTGTAAAATTGAGTCTTATTTGAAATAACATGCACTGTGAACAGTATATGGGATTTTTAGGAAGAACGAAAAGCATTTGGAGATGTGTGATAAAATACATTTAAAAAGTGTAGTTCAAAATGGAAAAACTTGCATTACTTCCTTAAAGAGATGAAGGAACTTGATGGAAGCAATCATGAAATGTTGAGCTGTGGGGCCTTAGTTATAGGCTGTATCTGTGTGTCCCACAATCCCAGTCTGCCATCATTGACCCTTCCCACTGCTGCTTTCATTTTGGAGGAAAACAACAACACTGCTGACTTGCCAACTGACCATTTCCTGTGCCATAGTTATGAGATGCCAGCAATGTCACTGCCTGTAAACGGGTTAGGAATCGAAATGCATTTCTTAGGCACGATCTGGCAACGAAAACCTAGAGACATCATGAGAGGAAGTGAACGCTTATGCGTCCTAAAACTAAAATCTGACCCATACTGTTAGGAAGTAGAATAATAGATTCTCATCTTACAACAAAAGGCAAAATTATATAAAAAACCTGTAAAATGTAGTTTTATTTTTCATACAACATAGTTGGGCTATTAAAGTTACTACTACTACTAAGCAGTGAGTCTAGATTACAGTGGGAACTGCATCATGTAAACAAGCAATTGAGAATATCTACACTTGCCGTAATACATACTAATGAATCCTGGAAAAGATATTAAATGTTCTTCAGGTTTTAAACTAATCTCCATGTACTGGGGTTCTCTCTCTAGTTTGGGGTGAAATTATTTCACGTTTTATTATTGCACAATTTATGCTTTTGATTGAAGCAGAAGTTACATCTTGAAAGCCTTGATTTTAATCAGGATTTAGAACTAGGTGAGATGTTTGGTCCATGTTTCCTTGATGTCTTGAAGGTAGACCTTAGCAACTAAAATCATAGCTCTTGCTTGAGTTCTGCACTAAGTAATTAGTATTGCAAACTAGACTAGATGTTTTTGGACATTTCTGAGGTAGGTAAAAGTGGAAAATAGAAACTTCTAAGTCTAGGTATCAAATTCTTCCATGCATGAAGTAGAACTGTCAGGAGCTTTGCTTTCCAGTTATCCCATGATCTGCATAGGAAAGGAGAGGGGAGAAAAAAATAATCAGCATGTGGACTAATAGTCACATTAGGTTCAGCAGCTGATGGTATCTACATTAGTTTGTGCAGAAGAACTTGCAGATGAATTTTGAGGACAGCTAAAACCACTTAAAGTCATGTAAAAGCTTTTGGCTTGGCAGCAGTTGTGGCATTGATGACCAGAGCTCCAAACAAAGGAAAAACAAGAAAACTACCTCCAGTAAATACGGATAATTCCTTCTTTTTCTTTTCTTTTCCTTCTGTCCCACTCCCTCTTTGTTTATTTGCCCCCTCAGATGAGACAGACCGGGGAGTGGATCAGCAAGATGGGAAAGAATGGTCGGATTCCCCAGGCTGTGAGGAGAGCGATGCAAACAAGGAAGAAAATCTCAAGCTGCGTCTGCCTACATGCTCTGATATGATCTGTGGATATGCTTGTCTGAAAGGTACTGGAGAGAGACCCTAATAGTTAAGGCAGAAGGAGGTTTTATGTGTCTGCGTTCCCCAGAAACTTCATCATACACAGTTTCTTCTTAGGCACTGCAGCCATGCGAAACACCAAGCGCGGATCCTGGTATGTTGAGGCTCTCACCTCTGTGTTTGCAGAGGACTCTCGAGACACTCACGTGGCTGACATGTTGGTGAAGGTGAGCAGGAGTGTCTTTCCTCTCCCACACTTACCTTGTATCTGAAGAGCCCTCCGGTGCTTCACATTGGTAGGATTAATCTACTATTAAAGCAATTGTTCTTGCCTTATTTGTAGCAAAATCATTGCTTTTTGTCCTATTTACTTATATGCAGTTCCACAGCAGTTTAACCAAAGTAAAAATGCTTTTTCTTTGACTCTGTCCATTCCTTGTGCAGTCACAATGTGAACTTAAGAGAAGAATTAATCTGCCAAGATTAACTTTTCTTCTATAGAAATAGCTGTTCTTTCTGGTAGATTCATTCATTGAACTGGCTCACCACATAACCACACAATCACATGAGGTAAAGAATAAGAAAATGGGGATAAGAGGGAGTGAAGACAGCAGTGTGAGGAACTTGAGCTGCTGTGGAACTGCACCCAAGTTCATTATCCTTATAATTTAGAAAGACAATACATAAGGGACTACTTAGTAAGGTAAACAGAATAATCTACCAGCACAGAAAACAATGAAGTTTTTCTTCCTTGTCTTAATCCTTCTGGTGTTTTGTTCTCACATCTAGGTGAACAGGCACATCAAGCAACGAGAAGGTTATGCCCCAGGCACAGAATTCCACCGCTGCAAAGAAATGTCAGAATACTGCAGCACGCTCTGCCAGGACCTTTACCTGTTCCCTGGTTATCTGCCAGGAAAATAACCCTGCCAGCTCTGTGCAAGGGAGGTACTGCCAAAGCTGGACTTGGAGCATGGATGTCTACGCTTTCGTTCTTCAGGCTGTGGCATGAGATGCACAAGCAGGGAGTGATGGTTTATATCTGGCCAGTCTGATTCTTCATGTCTTTAAATAATCTGGCAACTCACTAATCTGATTCAGTTCAGGGTTTAAAGTTCTTATATCCTGACTTAATCCATAAGTATAGAAATTGATGGAAAGAGGATCAGCACTGGAACTGGGAAGAAGTGGGAACATCCTTTGGAAGGAGACATTAAGGACGTTTCTAAGAAAAGTGAATGTGAAAAGGGAAACAGACTATTCATACAGTTTTTTAAAAGTTAAGCCTTTCTGAAAGGAAAATTATTCATAAAATGTTACTTATTTTATGCTTGTATTTTAAAAGTTTTAAGTACTTTCTGTCTGGTTCTTCATGCAGGACAGTCAGCTCCTGTGGATGTTAGAAGAGGGCTCCCTTGTGAAGGAGCCTTCTTCCCCTCTCTAAAATAGAAGGTTATTGTTTTCAGTACTTGACACTTTCCTATCATCTTGATAACTTAAAAGCCTGGTTTTGCACATTCCTTCTGTAGCCAAGTAATCAGAAGAAATGCAAGACATCCCAAGTTATCAACAAAACAGGTCGAGATCTAGGGTTTCTCATACAGACAAATAAGCCTCCATAAACTGCCCCAGAGATAGTTCTGAATCTAGGAATTCTAGGTTAGCTCCCCTTAGTCCCAAAAGTGAGCAACTGCATGGAATATTGCTTTTGAGGAATTTGCTTACCGTTGTACCTGTGTGTCACAACAGGCAGAGCGTTCAATCCGCCAGCTTCTCAGGAGACTATGAATTGCACTGTACAACTGGATCCCTGAAACCTGACAGCTTTGTACAAAAGGATCTTTCGTCTTTTGTTTAATTAACAAAAGTATTCAAGGCAGCTCTTTACAGTCTAAGCGTGTTACTTGGACTATTTATCACTGCAGTTTGTTTCCCTTTGAAATGAAAGGGAACAGTTTCATGTTACTACCCTGTTACGTGTTTTCTTTCTTCAGCCATGATCATTTGAAGCTGTTGTTTAGCTGATGCTGTTTGCAAAGTGTCATTTCAAATCCTCAGTAAGAAATAAGGCATAATCCATCACTTTTGGAAATTTCCTATGTGGTCTCTTCATGCATGTCTCTTGCAGTTACTCCCATTTGATGCAGTGTGGGAGGTGGGCATTGTGCTCTTTTTGTGGTAGAGCCTAAATCTGGATGTACCGGGCGGCATATGAACTACAGTCTGCGTTCACCTGAGTCTTGATCTCTGGTTTGTAGCAGCAAGTTGGCATTGTTTCTGCCTTACTTATGTTAAGTGTGGCTTTTAAAATACTTTTTGAGGAGAGAGTCATGAATAGGAAGCAGAAAGGGATATGGAGGGAGGCTGGAAAACTAGGCATGTACTGTTTTATTGTTTTGCTGAGGCAGATGAAGGCTATGTGTCCTCCAGCTGACAAAGGTGCAGCATCTTGCACTTAACCTTACACACAATGTGATAAACAGAACAAGGATCATACTTGCCAATTGGTGCCTTACTTTGAAGTTAAGATGCCGGTTTAGGGGCCATTGTACCTCCGTGGAGTATAAAACCCACCTTCTTCCTGAGTGCTCCCTCTTTGAAATGGTGCAATATTTTACAGATAAGTATATGAATGAAGTAGTCCACTCTGATGGATTAGATTTCTGTAGGATTGCATCAAGTTGCATTATCACTGCCATTTTCATATATTCTTTTTGTATACTTGTATTTTACTGCCTTGAGGTGTCAAAATAAAGAATTCTTGTTTGATTAATCTGTATCTTCCATTTGGAGAGCTATACCTTGTGCAGAAATGCAGTTTCTATGTAAAGAGAATTCGCATGATTTCTTGAGGTAGTACTTCCCAGAAGTGCTTTGGAACTCTTAAGGTGAAAGCCCAGAAGCTTGCTACGTTCTGACTGCAACCAGTGTGGGCTGCTTGTAAGTAAGCTCTTTGTCTTTGAGAACCACCAAGTAAGAGGCTGGTGTTGTGTTTCAGCACTGAGATATTTAGACTGGGAAAATGTCAGAGACTCTGTGTCGTCGCGATGCAGAGGGAACACAGCACAATCAATATGATTGATAGAAGTGATCCGTTTATTCTGCTTAAGCCTAGGGTATATATAGAGCTAGATTGCTACACACACACATTCTTGGGAAACTCCTGTGGTTACATCCCTTTTTCTAGCATCCTTGTTCCTCCCTTCAGGATACTCGTTAACTACAAGGTCAGCTTATCCTTTTGCACAGCTGGTGTTTTACCGAGCTGGGTAAACTGGTCCCTGGCCAAGTTCAGCCATGGGAACGTAACCCTTGCCTGCTAACCATGCTTCCACAGGAAAACTGTGGGCTTGGTATTCTTAAAGGAAGAGTTGGTGCCAAAATGAAGGGTTCCTGAAAAAAGGAGTCTTGGAAGGAGGATGCGCCGGGGAAGAAGGTCAAGATACCAGCTAGAGGAAAGATCCTGGAAGTGGCAAAAGATCCAGGGGATCAGAGAGCTGCATGGAAATGAGCACTAGGGGATGCCCAGAGGTGTTGGCATGTAATGCCCATGACTGGGAGCAGAACCAACACAACTTGCTTCTCCACCTTCACAGATGAGCTGCTTGGAAGGGAAGCTGAGGCCTGAGAAAAAGCCAGTGAGTGACTGTGAAATAAGAAGGTAAAGTTCTCTGTTCTCATCAGCTCTAGAACAGTTCCCAGTGTTCAGATCCAGTAGAGGTTGTAATTTACTCTCTCTTACCTGTGACACTTAGGGTGTTTCCTGAGGAAAAAGAACATTGTTTTTTCAATAACATCAGACTCTGCTAGAGGAAATCTAGCAGTAATATTAGCAGTGGAATTACCAACATCTACCTGTTGGTAGTAAGGGTTTCTAATAGTGCAGAAGATGAAGTAAACAAGATGTTTATGTTTTCAGAGAAATAAGTTCTGAGCTACTGGCGTAGTTTAAGGAATGACTTTGATAGCTAGGATAACAGCAAAGTGTTAACTGCTTCACATTTGGCTCAAAACCGAAAGAATGAGCTCAATAGTTTTGTGGGATGGGGCATGGAAACAGTGAACAGAAAGTAGACAAAGTATTCACAAATCTTGAGTTGCATGAAAATCACTGTGTTTATTAATAGAACAAGTCAGTAGATGAATACAGTTGTAGCAATTCTAAACTGGTTTTGTTTCCCTGTTTGCCATTAGGAAAAGTGATAGATGCTGAAAGGGTTTGACTTTGGAAAAACAGTTCTTGGCTTTCCATCCCAGGCCCATGGCTGTGGCCACTGATTTTCCATTTGCAGATCCAAACAGTAGGAAGGCTGAGCGAGCATCTCGGAAACAGACCCATGTGCAGAGGACACTGACATGACTGGCTAAACACAGTGCCACAGATAGAGAGTTACCCTCATTGGCACCTAACTTCAGTGCTGCCAGGACTCGACATTTAAACAGCCACCTCCCCTTTCTCCTCTTCGGCTGGTAAGGATTGAAGTTCAGTAGTGAAAGCATTCACCCCCCCCCTAGGTTTACAGGCACATTCATGGAGTATGTAGAGCAAGGACCCTCTGTCTCTCCCATACTCCTGCCTAGATCTTGGGCCTTACTTAATGGCTCTGTGGGTCTTACTTGCTTCTGCTGGTTAGTTCAGCTTGATGCTTGCTAGCAAATATGTGTTTGCATGCTCATCCCACAGGCACCCCACACTCACAGGTGCCACTGAATACCTGATACCCCTAACTGGACTTAGACCCTCTTGCTTGCTGGTTATTCCAGTCCAGGTTGCAGTTTGCCACCAAATTACATATGTACATCACAGGTTTGGGGAATCCTCCAACTAGTACCCGGGACCTCACGTGGGTCTGATGGGTAACTAGCACTTGGGCACCAAATGAGAGTAGCTATGGCTACTCCAGCTACTGATGCTGAGATCTCATTTGCTCCAGTTTCTGGCCCCATAGTCCCTACAACCCGGGTCTGATTGCAGTTGCTGACCCCAAATTCACTCATGCCAGTCTTGCCAGTTGCTGGCACCCCAACCTTACAGCACTTGCAGACATGGGATAGTGAGATTTCATGGGAAAATAGCTAAGAAAGGATTTAATAAGAGCATAGGACAAACTGGTGGTCAGGTACAGCGCTCAGTCAGGCAAGCACACTGACCAGCCTTGCTTTTCCCAAAACTGTCCCCTTTCTGTCTGTTCCCCACTTTCTGCCTCCCCAGCCCTTTTCCTCAAGTTTTGAATAGTCCCACAGACCCAGTCCAAATATCTCCAACCCTTATATTCCTCTTATTTCATCCTTCTTACTAGTTGCAAAGTCCAGGCTGGCCTTCTCCAAAGCTGTGCCTGTAGTTTTCTAACAGTCCATCAAATAGTGACTGGAGGTCTTTGGCATGATAACATATCCCTTGTCTCTCAGGTCTGGGTCTCCATGTGGCTTTGTTTGTGGCTGTATCAGTTCCTTCTGCATTGAAAAGGTCCTTGATTGAATGACCTTAATAAGGGAAATGTTTTCACCTTTCATACCCTTACATAACTCATCTTTATTTAATGGGAGAAGAGTCATGATGTTACCTTAAGTAACTGTCTACCTATGTATAGAATTTAGCCATTTCCCTGACTGAAAAGCTTTACAGATACCAGAGGGGGAAAAAACCCAGCAGATGTCTGTGAAAAGGGCTGTGATCTGTGTTACCTGCTTCATTCCCACTGATCTCCGGGCTTGCTGCTGTCTCAGGCAGTAGCAGTAGCTGCATCTCAGGCAGCCCTCATAAATCAGAGGGGCTGGGTACAGCTGGGCTTAGTTTCTGAGTACCACCAATTGGGCACTGTAGGTCCGGTTATGTTTAGTAAGAACTGTCATGATTCGTGGATTCACAAATAGTGCAGTTTACTGAAGGAGCAGAAACACAGATTTGGAATTGCTGTTGATGAATTCGCTAACTGCATTAGCACTGAAATACAGAGGCTAACCAACAGTTAATTGAGCTCATGTAGAAAAATAAACCAGTTGGCAATTGGTTTATTACCAGTTTACTGTGGAGTTTACTTCCACCTCAGTATCATCCAACACAGTTGTAGGTGTAGCACAAAGGTGTCCCTGGTGTGGGAGAAGAGAGGAGTGAGCCCACTGGCTTGTCTGAAACATGGGGTTGTTTCCTCATCTTCCATCATGGAGGAGTTAAAATACCCAGTTTATACATGTAGAGAAGTGGAGATGAGATTGTAGCCAAATTACTGACTGCCATCACAGGCAGTGTGCGGGCAGGTTACCCAGAGAGGTTGCAGAATCTTCATTTTTGCAGATACCCAAAATCTGTCTGGACATGATCTTAGGTGACTGGTTCTGGGTGGCTCTGTTTGAGCAGGGGAGTTGGACCAGGTGACTTCCAGAGGTCCCTTTCAACCATTCTCTGACTCTCTATGGAAAAGGTTCCGAGTGTTGGTTATGCCAGTGGAAGAAGGTTCGTGAAGGTACAAAGCCTATGAGGAGGAAGGCTGTTGATTTGTGGTGAGATGCTGTGGCCAGGGAATCAGCAATAATGGGTGTGCTTTAAGAAGAACCATGTGAAATGTGAGGGCACCATGTAGTTTATATAAGGAATAGTTTTCCAAGGCCTGCTAGGAGAACGTACCTTCTCAGATGCTGACACTTGACAAATTTGTCCCTGAAGCAGGTTGTAGGAGTAATCCTGCTCAAGTTGCAGGATGCTTCTCTTCTCTCTTAGTTTTGGTCATTTTTATTTTCATCCTCTTCTTCCCTAGTCTCTCTCTGTCATTAGCCCCATTTTTCTATGGTCCTGCTGTTGACCTCTTCCAAAAGCAGTGAAGAATGATACTGAGAGAGGAAAGGGAAACTTCACCTCCTACTAATTTACTGAGTTGTCCTGGTGCCAGGGCAGCAGAGGGATATTAAAGCAGGGAAGCGGCTGCTGTGTCCAAGCACAGACTGAACAGGAGGGGGCAGGGAGTCTC